CAATGGCCCACCCAGTCCAACACTCTGTGTCACACAGGGGCCAAAAACACCAGGGGCCATCAGGAGGTCCAGCAGTGGGGCCAGAACTCCAGAAGCCCTCCCACTGTGGCCCCCCCCCGCACCAAGAATACAGAGCATCCCTTGCCCCAGACCGAGAGCTCCTATCTATACCTTGTGGCTAATAGCCACTGATGGACCTCTGCTCCATATAAGAACATACGAGAAGCTCCATATGTTGATCCAATTCGTAAGAACATTAGAATGTGAGAGAAGCCCATGTTGGATCAGGCCAAAGGCCCATCCAGTCCAACACTCTGTGTCACACAGTGGCCAAAAATACCAGGTGCCATCAGGAGGTCCAGCAGCGGGGCCAGGACACCAGAAGCCCTCCCACTGTGGCCCCTCCAAGCACCGTGAATACAGAGCATCACTTGCCCCAGACAGAGCCATCTATATCTTGTGGCTCATAGCCACCAATGGCTCCAGATGTTTATCCATTCCCCTCTTGAACCTGTCTGTACTTGCAGCCTCCAACACTTCCTGCAGCAGTGAATTCCACGTGTTCATGACTCTTTGAGTGAAGAAGAAGACGAAGAAGAAGAAGAGATTGGATTTATACCCCGCCCTTCACTTGGAGTCTCAGGGGGGCTTACAAACTCCTTTCCCTTCCCCTCCCCACAACAGACACCCTGTGAGGTGGGTGGGGCTGAGAGAACTCTGACGGAAACAGCTCTTTTTCAAGGACAGCTGTGCCAGAGCTTGTGACTGACCCAAGGTCATCCAGCCAGGTGCAAGTGGAGGAGTGGGGAATCAAACCCGGTTCTCCCAGATTACAGTCCACACACTTAACCACTACACCAAACTGGTGTAGACGTACTTCTCACCCTCTGTTGACCCACAGAACCTGATCCACTGGCTTTGCCCTACACCGTGGCTGAAGAACACTACATGGCTCTGCCGAGACAACATCTCCCCCGACTGGAGTCCCCACCACACCAGGAGCCGCTGGCCCTCACGGACATCCGCCATTACCAGCGGGAGCCCAGCGAGTCTGATTTCCCACCCCCGGGGGTTGCGCGGTCCGGCCTGGGCGGCACGGAAGAGAGGATCCGCAGGATGGAGGAACTGGTGGACGGACTCGGGACTATGCTGGACATGGTGAAGGAGCAGGTGAGGAACATCTCGGGCTTCCCCAAGCACTCGCTTCCCACCCACCCCCCAAACCCAAAGTGGCGAGGTGGGTTATCAGGCAGATGTGGAGGAAACGGTTGGAGAGAAGAAGAAGAGAAGAGATTGGATTGATACCCCGCCCTTCACTACCCGAAGGAGTCTCAGAGTGGCTCACAAACTCCTTTCCCTTCCCCTTCCCACAACGGACACCCTGTGCAGTGTTCCCTCTAAGCTGAGTTAGTGTGAGCTAGCTCACAGTTTTTTAGCCTCTGGCTCACACATTTTTGTCTCAGCTCAGGAAGAAGGGCTCCAGAGCAAACTAATTTATGCAGCAGCCAAAGCTCCTGCTCACAACTTTAATTCCAGTAGCTCACAAAGTAGAATTTTTGCTCACAAGACTCCATAGCTTAGAGGGAATATTGCCTGTGAGGTAGGTGGGGCTGAGAGAGCTCTTGACAGAAACTGCTCTTTTTCAAGGACAGCTCTTATCAGAACTATGGCTTGCCCAAGGTCATCCAGCCAGGTGCAAGTGGAGGAGAGGGGACTCAAACCCTCTCAAGTGCGCGGACTCTGATCTGGGAGAACTGGGTCTGATTTCCCACTCCTCCACTTGCACCTGCTGGATGACCTTGGGCAAGCCGTAGTTCTGATGAGTTGTCCTTGAAAAAGAGCAGTTTCTGTCAGAGCTCTCTCAGCCCCACTGACCTCACAGGGTGTCTGTAGTGGGGAGGGGAAGGGAAAGGAGTTTGTAAGCTGCTCTGAGACTCCGAGTGGAGGGTGGGGTATAAATCCAATCTCCTCCTCCTCCTCCTCCTCTTAATCACTACACCAAACTGGCTCTCCCCCCGACCAGCTGGAAAAGACAGCTGGAAAATCGGGAGGATACATATGAAGGGAGAACATCTGAAGAACCCTGCTGGGTTGACCCATCTGGTCCAGGATCTTCTTTTCCCCCAGTGTCTTTCCTAGTGGGTCCACAAGTGGGGTGTGACGGCAGGAGTTCTCCTTTTGCTGGTGACTTCTGTAGTCCAGAAAACTAACACCTAGGCAGGAAAACTCTCTTCAAGGAGACCAGTTTCTTGGCACAGAGCTAGAAGGGATCCTAGAGGTCACCTACTCCAACCCTCTTGTTCAGTGCGGGAATTAGTCCACGACAACACTTCACACTGCTTAAAGGAGCGCACGCCTTTAAAAAAAATGTTTTAAGATGATTGACAAAAGCATGTGCAGGAGAAATTCTTGTCGGGCTGTGCCTTTCAGAAAGGGGGCGGAGCCCACAAGAGCTCTGCTGTAGCTACGGGCCTGCTGCCGGGGATGCTTACATAAAATAGCAGCACTATAGTCAAGTAACACACAATCAAGTGTTGTGACAGCATCCCATCAGCCCTCTCGGTTGGAGTTGCCAACCTGCAGGGGGTGGCTTGAGATCTTCTATTACAACTGATCCCCAGGTGACAGAGGATCAGTGTTCACCTGGAGAAAATGTCCCTTTTGGAAGGTGGGCTCCATGGCATTATGCCCCATTAATGTCCGACCCCTCCCCAAACCCCGCTCTCCTCTGGCTCTACCCCCTCCAAAAGGGATCCGGCCACCCGACCAGTGCTCCCTCTAAGCTGAGTTAGTGTGAGCTAGCCCACAGTTTTTTGTTTTAACTCAGGGAGGAGGACTCCAGAGCAGTGTTCCCCCTAAGCTGAGTTAGTGTGAGCCAGCTCACAGTTTTTCAGCCTCCAGCTCACAGATTTTTTTTTTGTTTTAACTCAGGAAGGATGGCTCCAGAGTGGTGTTCCCTCTAAGCTGAGTTAGTGTGAGCTAGCCCACAGTTTTTTAGCCTCCGGCTCACAGATTTTTGTCTTCGCTCAGGGAGGAGGGCTCCGGAGCAAACTAACTGATGCAGCAGCCAAATCGCTCGCTCACAGCTTTGATGCCAGTGGTTCACAGAGTAGAATTCTTGCTCACAAGACTCCACAGCTTAGAGGGAGCAGGGGTCATTTGGTAGAAAAAGAGGTGCCGGAGCTCATGAGCATAACTCATTAGCATAACTTATTTGCATACACCACACCCCCTGACATCACCGGAAGTGTGTCAGAAGGCAACACCCACCGCTCAGGCTCCACAGGACTGTTTTGGATTGTTAGCTATTGCAGGGGGGGGGAACATGCAGATTTGCCCTCGCAGAGGAGGGAGAGCTTGTCCCTGAAAAAAACTTGGTCTTAAAGGTGCCGCTGGACTGTTTTGGGCAGGGGGGGGGGCTCTGCAGCTTACCTGGCTGCTTCTTGCTCTGACTGGGGGTTGCTGGGAGCAGGGGGGGGGGGGG